GTAGTAGTAGTAGTAGTAGTAGTAGTAGTAGTAGTAGTAGTAGTAGTAGGTGGTTGGTAGAGCTGTCATTTCTCAGCTAGAAGGTCGGTGGATCAAATCCTGACCAAGGACCTTTCTGGGCGAAGTTTGCATGTTCTCTCCGTGCATGCGTGGGTTTTCTCCGCGTACTTCGGTTTCCTCCCACAGATCAAAAACATGCATGTTAGACTGACTGGCAACTCTAAAATGTCTCTAGGTACGAGTGAGGGAGTGACTGGTTGTTTGTCTCTGTGTCTCTGTGATGTACTGGAGACTTGTCCAGGGTGTCCCCTGCCTCTCGCACAGTGATGGCTGGACATGAGCACCAGTGACCCTCGCTACACGGAAAGTGGACAAAAGATAATGTTTGGATGGATGGAAGGCACCAAAATCAGGGTCAAGAGTGTAGAGACCCAAGAAACAGCTTCTTTTTGGAATGAATTATGCATTTGTTGCAGGCTAGCCGTAACACAGTTTAAAGTAGAGATGTGGTAATCATGAAGTATTTATTTTTTGTTGAATAGCGAATAGTGGCAATGGATATAATTTTTTAAATGTTTTATTGTTTTTTCTTCATATTCTATATTCACCGTGTCCTAAGTTGACAGCAGCTTTTCATTAAATTAGAGTAAGACAACCAACAGTTGTTTGTGTTGCTGTTCGGCATATTGTTTTTATGCTATTAGTGCTTAACGTATTTTTAGTTAACATTTTTCTTAGTTCATATCTTAGATCTTATTGCTGTTTTTATTTTTACATTTTATTGTTGGATGTAACTGGGACCCTGTGTACATAATTTCGTTCCACCACATGTACCACATGTGGTGCGAATGACAAATAAAGAAACTCTGACTCTCTGAGTTGTACTTTAAGGAAAACTTACAATGACAAGTCCTGGGAAAATTAAATAACACTTTCTCATGAAAAAAACTGACCACCCCCCACCCCCCACCCGCAAAACACTTCTTTTTTTTTAATATAAAAACAAAGTAACTTTAGCATGAAACCATCACCCTTTTCCAGTTTAGCACATATTTATTACTCCAGTGCAGCCACTCTCTTGGGGTTACGCTGCACTCACCCTGCAAACTCGATATACTTGTAGATGGAGCCGGCAATCACCATGGCGACAATGGCATAGTACCAAGAGCAGAGGAACATAAGAGTGAGACACAAGCTCATCCCCAGGAAGGACAGAGTCCTGCAGAGCAATACAAAACAGCAAATCTGTGTAAAGTAGCAAAGGTTGGACCCGAAACACAAAAACTGAACTATAGACATATTTTATGGGGCATTAATGAACTAACCAGTGATAGAACTTGAAGCGGGGTCTCCAGTTTGGAGTCCTCAGCAGTGTCTGGACAGCACAGGCCAGATTCACAAACATGTAGCACATTAGGAAGAACCTACAGGATAAATGTTAACACAGTTTATATCACAGCTCATGTGGAATTTAGTCCACTTAAAAAAAAAAAAAAAATTGCATGTTCATTTGTGGTAATGAAACAAAAACAGAGCCCATAAAATTTGGCATTACCAGTTAGAAAAAAATCAGGAGACTGAGGGTTCTGGGTTTTATACTGTTTAAAAGACGAAGAAGAAAAAAATCAGTTTGGGTTGTTTTAGTTCTCACATGGAGAGGATAGGAGCCACAGAATCCAGAGACGCAATGAGGATGCCGCTCTCACATATACAAGCTGTCAGCAGGAGAGACCATGTGGGTTCTCCATTGGCCTTCCCATGGCCGAAGATCTGGAGAATGAACACAGCAAATAATATATGTTATCACTGCCCTTTACGTGTTTATTTTAATCCCAGTACGTTCAACACAGACTGACCCGGAGGGCGGGCACGATGCCATCCTTGGCGATGGCCTGCAGGAGGCGGGGAGCTCCTGTCAGACTCTGGAGACCCGCTCCACAGGTGGAGAAGAACGAGCCAATCACAATCACCCACGGTGATGGCCACGCTAACGTGCCGATCACCAAGTTCCCATGAACCCCCTCTCCAAACCTACAAAAGGTCAAGCAGAATTATAAAATTGCAAACAACATCCATGTTGGAATCATTTAGTGCACGGTTTGAGAGATAAAGAGCAGAGGATGGATTTACTTGTCCCTGAGGACCACGCCCTCGATGCAGGCACCAAACAGGAACACACTCGACATGTCTGAGAAATTATTCATCAGGAACATAAACCTACTGTGTAGACAGTTAACACTTATTTTTTTTTATCAGAAAAAAATATTACATTTTCACAGATAAGATGTGTCTAACATTTTACAGGACTCAATTGAAAAAATTAAAAACCTTTCCTAGTAAAGATGCAGTTAATTTACTGATAATCAAGTTAACTTTGCAGAGATGGGGCACAGATCAATAATGTTTAAAATGATACATCAGGGATCAGTGACATTACAACAAACATCCTTAAGCTTTATTAACTTACACTTGCATAGGCAGCCAGATAATGTGATTAGAAGTCCTAATTGAATTTGTGTAGAGTACAAGCTGATTATTTAGAGGACTGAGGGCATTTCAAGATGGTTGCTTCAGTACATTGTACCTTTTATTTTCAAGAAATTCACTAAAAAAATTACACAGCTGCCAAAAAATATACAATATAAAGTGAGAGTCAACTCACATGAAAAATATGTTTGAAATCAATTCAGAAGTTCTGATTTTGCGATTCTAAAAACAAAGATAAATTATATCTCTCAATTTATACATTAGGTTCTGGACCAGGTGTCAAAATTGGGCTGGTATCATCGCAGCAATGGGTTTTTTCTCCTTTAAAGTGCTGAACTTTAATTATGAGACTCCCTGCAGATTATTATTTTTTTTTCTGCAGTATTTGATCATTGAAAATTCTGCCAGAGTTGAACTTTATGTGTAATTCAGTCAGTTGAAATTCCTTTGAATGCTTTAGATTTGTTTGTCCAATGGTTTCTGATGTCTTGTGGGAGCAGTGGTGAGAGGATACAGACAGTGGAGGTGGTGGTGATGGCTGCGATGGTTCCAATAGGAATTGACTTCTGGGCATCACGCAGATCTCCGGAGCGGTTGGATCCGGCCATGATTCCTGAGGAGAAAGTCAAGAGGAGAACACTGATGAGATTTGAGCTTTGGACATAAAACCTCTCTGTTAGATGCTGCAAAAACAAAACAAACAAAAAACCAATAATCATCTGACTTACCGGTAATCACTTGCAGAAATATAGTCTGAGAACAACCACATAATCTGTTTTTAAGGTACCGTACAGTAGTCCCTCGCTACTTTGTGGTTCAACTTTCGTGGACTCGCTCTTTCGTGGTTTTTCAATGAAAGATTGTACACGACACACGGTTGTCTACTTTAATATTACTCATGTGATTGGGACGGTACAGGATAAAAATTTTATGAAAATAAAACTTTGGACAGGCGCCGCCATTTTGTAGTTTTTGTTCAATAAGCCTGTACTGTAATGCAGGTCAAAAGAACTACACTACCCAGAAACCAACAGTGCTTCTGGCTGCTGCTTTCTGCCGAAATGGAGGGAAAGTTTTGCAACGCAAATCTACACTATCTATTAATTTCTCAGAACTGGCAGGAAAGTCGCAAATAATCCTGAAGCTTCCTGAAGCTCAATTATCGTTGCGCACAACGGGACGGGGCGGTGGGCTTTGTTGCTGCAGGGTAAGTCTGCCGAAGCGGAACCGAGCCCGACCGGAACCGAGCTGCTGGTCTGCAGAGCTGGTGAGTAAAATTTTTGAAGTACTGTACACTATAGTACATATACATATGTCGTTAAAATTATGAAAGTTTAAGAGTTTAGAACATTGCAAGAGTGTGGGAAGGGTTTATAAAGTATTTATACTGGTATATATAAATACTAAAACAAATATAGCATTCATACTTTGTGTTTTTTCACCTATCGTGGTGGTGTGTGGAACGTAATCCCCGCGATAATCGAGGGACTACTGTAACAACAATGCTCACCTGTCACGGATGGGAAGTAGATGCCAACAAGCAGCGTAAAAAAGCTGGTGATGTCTGCTAACACGTAGCGGTTAGCACTGGTCAGAGGGTCATCACTCTCTTCGATCGACTCCAAGTAAGCTTTAGAAACCAGATCCCCTTTCTCATAGTAGGTCCCAAACAAGTTTTCTGAAGAAAGAAAGAAAAAAAGAAGAAGAAGAATATTTTGTGAAAAATAGCTGTGGAAAACAAATGACAAAATAAAAAAAAAATAAAGGATAGTGCTCTCATTCAAAATTTTTATTCAATACAGGAACAACACAATGACAAATCCAAAAGAAATGCACCAACCACTCAAGACTCCACTGGTGATCCCAGGAATTCCCTGGATTTGCGTCACGTTGTTGGCAGTGAAGTAATTGTCACAGGTTGCGTTGAGGAAAGGTGAATCACAGAACATGCGCCACAGCTGGGTGGTGACTGTCCCGTTAGCTGTCTCTATGGTCTTGGCACAAATATCGAAGTTCTTCCACACCAAAGTGCGGTTTCCTAAGATACACACTCTGCAAAATATATTAATAAAACAGCTGGGAAATTACAATAACTACTCGCAATATATTGTGTTCTTTCATTTTATAATTAACTTGATGGTTCATGTAACCACAACTACAAATAGTTAAATATTCAGATTAATAAAATAAAACCTCAAGAAATTGGCAACAGAATACTTTAATTTTTTAAAGTATTGGCTCCTGAGAGGGAGAACAATCATGATTGATGGAGTCAAATACGTTTGTTACGCAACATATAATTGCTAATCCACAGGATAATCCATCAAAGTGCATATTTCAGATTAAAGCACATTAAACCTACATGCAGAAATAAAACTATTACTGTTACTACAAAAATACTTTTCAACCAACTTTAATTCAGTTGGAAGCAATAAAATAAGAATATCCTGGATGTCATTAAATGATCTAATGCTAATAAAAACAGCAGTTTGTAAAAAACTATTTTATTTCAAAGACTAAAGAGTTCAGAGATTAAAAAAGTTTTTTTTGTGTTTAATATTTGCTAGTTTCACTTTATCATCTCATGAGTTCTTTAAATGCTCCAGTGTGTTTGCACTAAAGGTCAGAGTTCTGCTCAGTGGATCAACGCGTGTTCTGCTGTGATGTCTTGTTGCAACCACTCACGGGAAAACAGGGGGTTCGACGGCGGTCTTGATGACTCCGGCATAAACGGCCAGGATAGAGAGGATGACGCAGGCCAGAAACACCAGAGCCAGCTTGTTGACGTACTTTACGCCAACAAACACCACCGTGGCCATGGAGGTCAACAGGATGGTCCCGTACACACGCATGTTGTTCAGCAGAGCAGCCTCCGCCTCAGGACCCTCTAGACCCTCAAGTGGAAAGATGGCGGCTTTGGGGACGATGTAAATCTAAAGCAGAACGTTAAACTACGGTTATTATGTATCCCTGATGCACAACACATTATTTTACATAACAGTCTCATTGAATCTCATGAGCTGAAGACAGTTGTCATTCACATCTCACTTTGTCTGGCTCGTATAGAGATTTAAAGTCACATATTTAAGGTTTCAATCTAGATTAGCTTGATACCTATTTATTAAGTCTTACCCCGGATTAAATATTGATGAAGACATTGTATTTAATAAAGGATGAGACAAAGAGATGAGACGAGAGAACAGGACATGTCTTTAGGCCACTTCACTTCTTTTATATCAGAGATTAAAGCAGCACACTGTCTACGGCTTTATTCATCTTAATTAAAGAGCCTAAAATCCCATCAATATTTAAAATGAACTGCCGTTACTACACTTCTACTACCAATAATCCAAAAATAGATGCATCATGATATAAAATACAGTAAACCAATAATTATTCCATCACTATCTGTCATCAGTTGGAGATGATTCATTGCAAGGCTGTTACAGTATATAAACGGGGATTTCTGACATCAAAAACAGTATTTTGTTTCCACTGCTAACACATGAAACTACCGTGAGCTGTGGTACGGGCTCAGTTCAGACATTTGGCTGGAGAAGCTGCTCCGATGCTAATAACAGCATATCACCAGGCAAACAAATCTCCTGCCTCACTGTGAACTGTTCATGCTTCCTAAAATAGCAGCTTCGGTTTTGTGTTCTTGGCCTGTGTGGAAGGATGAAACATATTCAAATCAGCCCTTTGCAGCTCCGTTCCTCACTATTCTGTGGGGATTGTCATTTCACAATGGAAACTAAGCCAGCTTTGACCCAGAAGATGATGTTAACCTCCAGGCACAATCAAACTCTGCATAACCGTTAGAGGAAACCAGAAGCAGAGCAAAAAATAAAAGAAAAAAGAACAAAGTAAAACGAAGAGGGAAATAGACCAGAAGAGTTTTTATCAAGTACAAAATTAACTGCAAGGATTACATTCATATCATAAATTCAACCATGACACACATTCTGCCAAATATATTATGCTTTTTTTGCCGAAATTTATTGTAATTCTTTGCAAATGAAGTCTAAACTGCTCCCAAACCTGCTCTGGTCATGCACGGTTCTTCCTCTGATTAGAACATTTGAGCCACTCAGAGGTTTGTGGTTAGGATTAAAAATGAAGAGATCATCTTCCTGCTGCTCAGCAACAAAAACAGTGACAAGCATGGATGAGAGTAACGAGCAACCGTGGTTGCTATAGGAACGCTGCAACTGAATTATTCCAGTTTCTACTGTTTGAAATGGCAGCAATTATTCTAAAATTGATTTATTTAGAAAATACATTTATGTTAATGTAGGTGAAGAACACTGATTGTTTTTTATGTCTCTGCAGCTTATGTGAGGTTTTGTGGCTTTATAT